ATTTTATTTCAATTATTAAACTGTTTTTATCTCAACCCACGAGTTTTTCTCACGTGTGCTCTTCCAATTCTCTCCCCCATCCCACCGGGTGGGGGGGAGTGAGCGAGCGGCTGCGTGGTGCTTAGTTGCCGACTGAAATTAAACCACGACAACTTGTGAGATCCCTGACTTAATACTCATATTTGCTTGGGGCCTCACGATACAGCAGCAAATTAAAGGATGGTAACATTAATGTTAATATTAGCTAACATTTGAAGTAACACTGCTGTGCTTTCCCTGTTTCCTACCACAGAATACATGATCCTTTGTATCACCTTTAAAATCTCTAATTTAATCACACATTACTGTGTTCTCTTCAGAAAAGTAGACTCTACTTAATGATTCAAGCCACAGTGGAAAAATCTGAAACCATACTTTTGAAATGAATCTGGGTATTTTCACTTCCAACTATTTGGTTGTATATGTGAAAGTACAGCTCTGAGTACAACCCTGTGTACTTTTGTTTTGCAAAATACTAAGCACATTTTTGGCATTTGGATAACAATAAAAACAACCATAATGACAAATTGTGACAGTCTGTGCCAGCTGCCTAGATGTACGGTGGGTGTAAATTATAACCATGATTCAAGGGCACAATGTTGATTTATATGAGCTATTTAAGTGCTTATGTCATATTACATCTGCAGTCAGGCAAATTTCATGCTACAGTGGAAAGATCCAGAGCAAAAGTTCTAAAATCCACTTGCCTCAGATGAGGTTGCATTGGTAAGATGACCAGATCCCATGTTATGCTGCTATTTGTGTTCTGACTGTGCAGAGCTTAGATTTCTTTAGCATTTTATTATAGCAATGGAGAACTATATGAGTAAGTTTATAGCCTGACCCATTCCTTTGAGTCCAGTTCATGAAGAAGCACAGAGAATAACTGCTGTTTGACTCTACAACCTATCCTACAAGCCACTCACTCCTAAGCATGATTGCCAGAGCTAGTACGTGATATTGGGATTTCTGGAAGAGCAAGAAAAGTAGAACCAGAAGAAAAAAAAAAACATGTTCCTACTTCTTTCTCTTGCCTTTTTTTTTTTTTTAAGATATTCCTCACTTTTTGCAAGAATAAATTGGGAAAAGTATTCATTTGATGGCTACTAAAGTACATGTAAGAGCTTAAAACTGAAGATGTAAAATTATTTCTAGGACTAAATGTGAAACACAGGAAAACATGGACCTGTAGCACTAATCTTGGGCAAGGCAGCTTAAGTTTTTTGTATTATTTCAAGTTGTTTCTCACTGGTGATAAAATTTAAAATCTGCCGTAAATCATATATATATATATGTATATATATTTAATGATGAAACTAGTTTTACTTACCTCAGTTTAAAAAAGTGAATGGAAAGATTTTATGTTTTCATATCTTTCAATTTTTACACTTGTGTGAAGGAATGTGAAATAAATTTTCATGGAAAAATAATCTTGATACAATTTACACCAGAACAAATCCAACTAATAGCAAAGGAACATCCTGCAGTAAAATGTCACATTTTGTATCCAAGGTCACGTCATAAATTTTAGACAAAATTATTTCAGTGGGTTCCTTTTATTTTCTGCAGCTGGAAACCTGAATAGTATGATTTAGGCTGGCCTTGTTTCACTATTGTTCCAAGATACCTTGTTAATTTTCCTCTTTTGCATTTGTGTTTGCACCCTCTGTCATGTACTTTTTCCCTACATAGTGCTATATCCAGGTGTATCTTATTCAGTTTACCATCTGTTGAACATTTGGATTCAGCTGTAAATGTTGGCATTTGTGCCCTATTGGGACTTCTTGCCAAGCAACCACACCTTTTTCTTTATTGTGTTCCAAAGGTTAGATTCTTGTGCATGGTCTAACTTTGGAGAGAATGTATGTTATTTACTTGATTTCTGGAAACACCATTGATGTAAACAAATATCTTATGATATTGAAGAATTATTAAAGCTTGCCAAGCAGATAAGTACATGTCAAAACTAATGCCAGTGTAAAGATTATTTCCTGTCTAGCTTCACATAAATCAGAATTGCAGAAGCTTCAGAGGAACAATATTAATAAAAGTCTCCATTAAAAAAAAAAAAAGAAATCACTGTGAGGTGCAGCTGGTTTTAAAGACTTGTTTACATAGAGAGAATGGTGACTTTCATTTTCTGTCCTAGTAATCTACCTCACCTGTTTTTTTCTTGTCTACAGTGTTTTTGTCTGTTGGGAGCAAATAATGGTCTTAATAAATATTATATAACATTAGAAAGAAAGAAACTTAACTTTTGCAGTAAGCTAAAATGTTGTCTTTAAACTAATTCAATTCACTAATTGTTCATGTTTCCTGTTAAACTTTACTTAACCAATAGGAGATTAGTAAAAAGTTTAATGGGGCCCACCAATATAACTAATATATATACATATGTGTATTCTTTGTTTAGTTTCTTTCAGAAGCAACTTAGTCTCTGCTTGTTTGTGTGTGTATGTGTCCATATAGTTAATAGATTCTGAAATTTTGCACAGAAGTAACTTAAATCATTTCAGTTGATATCGTTATGCTGTATGGTTGTAATTTTTAATCTTTGTGTATAACATCTGAATTTGACAGAGATGTAGAAGTCTCAAAAAATTCTTTGTTTAGTTTCTTTCAGAAGCAACTTAGTCTCTGCTTGTTTGTGTGTGTATGTGTCCATATAGTTAATAGATTCTGAAATTTTGCACAGAAGTAACTTAAATCATTTCAGTTGATATCGTTATGCTGTATGGTTGTAATTTTTAATCTTTGTGTATAACATCTGAATTTGACAGAGATGTAGAAGTCTCAAAAATTATTACATTTCTACAAATTTCATAAAAAAAAATTTTGGCTAGATGAGAGTCCCATTCAATATCCCAGCTATGCACTATATGATTACATCTAGTTAAATAGGAAAATAGGAATTTTAGCCAGGTTTCCCGCAAAGCAAGGCTGATGTAATTACTTATTCTCTGTGAATGCAAGTATCTCATTCTTAACCATAGGTTTTGGATCCATTGACTGATTTCAATCTAATGTGGCAGAACAATTGATGTCTCTGAGATATTTATGTTTCTATAAGTTTTATAGCGGGTGGCTAAATAAAGGAGAAGAACCCCTAATAACTTGTGTTTTTGCTGGTTTCACAGCTGAACACAGCAGCCTGCATGCCTCTGACAGAATACATTGCAGATAGAGATTGTGAGTATATGCAGGGTTAACAGAAAATGATAATGTAATTCAGTTAAGAAGTCAATCAGCCAAGAGACACAAATGCATAGTAAACTAGCCTTCAGTAGATCCAGATCAAAAAGTGACTTAATATATAAAATAAAACATTTTTAAAACATTCACTACACATTTAATAAAGGGATTGTTATTTTCTCATGGAGTAATCAACATGTTAAGGCTACTGCAGATATTATTGTTCCTTTCCAATTTCCTTTTTAAAAATACAAAACTTTTTTCTAAAATGTTTGGGACTCGGCGCTCTCAGACAAAACGCTTTCCCCATTATTTATCTCAGTGCCTATGATCAGCTGGAATGCCACGTGTGTGAAATTCTGGGCACTTGGCAGGGTAAAAAATTTCTGTGCCTATGGGTTTAAAACATCTCAAGTTGGAAGGTACCCACGAGGATCATCGAGTACAACTCCCTGCTCCTCGCAGGACTACCTAAAACTAACTCATATGACTAAGAGCGTCGTCCCAACACTCCTTGAACTCTGACAGGCTTAGTGCCATGACCACTTCCCTGGGGAGGCTGTTCCAGTGACCGACCACCCTCTTGGTGAAGAATCTTTTCCTAATGTCCAAGCTGAACTTCCCTTGACACACCTTCATACCATTTCCTTGTGTCCTGTTGCTGCTCACCAGAGAGAGGAAATCAGCACCTCCTCCTCCTCCTCTGCTGCCCCCTTGATGAAGGTGTAGACTGCGATGAGGTCACCCCTCAGCCTCTTCTCCAAGCCGAACAAACCAAGTGCCCAAGCCAACCTACCCTTTTTGTAGTCAAAAGTGTTGTATATGATGACCTTTCAAGTATACTGGAAAAAGAATCAGTTCAAATTGGATTTTATACAACAAGAAGAGAATTTTTTGGGAGAGATGTTGGGAACACAAGTTATTATGATTCCACTGGTTTTATTTCAGAAACTGTGCATGACATCCGAATTACATTTTAGTATTCTTTATTTATCTTTCAAGGAATTAATCTTTTCTAGCTCTTTTTATTTAGGGACAAAGTATGGGTAGTAGGGGAAAATTGGAGCTTTGGGGACATAGATTTGATTCCCAGTTCTGTCATCCTATGTAGTCTTAGGTAAATCATCCAATTCACTATGCCTATAAGTATGTCTTCCCAGCAGTGCAGATTAAACAGGCTGTCTATATATGAGCTAACCAAGAATAGGAGGCAATGAACGAAGAATAAAACACTTTGGGTGGAGCTGCAAAATTTCCAGATCCAAATTGGTGCTACAAAATGGGGAATTACTTGCTTTGTCTATAAACCACTATACAGTCTTGAAGCCAACAGTCTAGACGAACAGGACCAAAAAGAGAGTTAACAAATAAACAATGTGGAATATCGGGGGCCCATATTTTATCTAGCAAGTCAGGCAGGTTTGAAAGCCTGCTGAGAGGGGTGAGAACTGGTAATCTGGCCTCAGAAATTTTGAAAAGCCCTTAGAGTCCACAGAAGGGACTGCAGACCGATTGCTTGAATTGAATCCTGGAACAAAGAGCTGCCTTGAAAGAATATGTTGCCCAAGGAGGTTGTGAAGCCTCCATTCTTTGAGATATTCAAAAACTGTCTGGACATGGTCCTGGACAACTGGCTCTAGGTAGCCCTGCCTGAGCGGGGAATTTGGACCAGATGACCTCCAGAGGTCCAGTCCAACCTCAACCATTCTATGATTCTATGATTCTGTGAACATAGGCCCAGGACTTATCCGAGCTTCTCCCCACCCCAGCTCTACATTTTGCCTGATTAGTCACTCTGAATTATCTCTTAAATTTTAAATATTCAGGTTCATGCTCTAATATATGCATGATCTTTATATGATGAAAAGCCTTAATATACTGTATTACAAGATGTATAATTGTGGAGACAATTCAATAAGGTTTATTTTTTTTTTTTAACCATTAGAAGCATGTTTAAATGTTTGAATATTGCTGCATGCCTTAGACAGATTTCTGCTATGTTGACTGATTTTTTTTTTTCCTGAGCCAACCTAATGAATTTAAGGTCAGTAGTTAAAAATTATATCTGTCAATATTCTTTACGTCATATATAGTCTATATTTAACTAGATAACAAGTTCTTAATTCAAAATTATTTCCTTCAGGTCTTTAAAACTTTTTTACAGTCATTTTTAGTTTTATATGACCGTGATCAATTTTTAAATTTTATCTCTTGGCTAGTTATTCTGTTTATTCCATTTGGTCTCCTATCTCTTGATCATTTTCTGTGTTAAAACTGTACATTACTTCTTGTTACATAAATGGCTTCCCTACTAAACTCTTTTGTGGGAAAAAAGATAAAGAGCCATTTATAAAAATCAGTCCTCTGTTCTAAGGTTTCTTAAAGTGGTATTCCAATATTTTTATCATCATTTTTCTATAACTTTGTCCCCAAAGACTTCAGTGATTTAATTATATTTAGCAGTTTAAACAACAACAAAAAGCTTAGCTTTCTTTGATTTGCTAAATTTAAATTGTTATTTACTAAATAATGTATTTCTGATATATATATTTAGAAACTGAATGTGTTTGAATATGAAATAATAGTATATCTTTCCCAGTATTTTTCAATTCATGGCCAGTTTCATTTGACTTCTGTCAACTTCTTTGATACTAAGTACAATAGCATTAGTACCATCCAAGAATATCTGAAATAGTGACCACCAATATGGCAATATAAAAAAGTGAGTATGAGAGAAACTAGGTCATCAATGCTGATATCACTGAAGTATCTACACCTTACATAATAACATTTATTGGTCAACTGACTGGAGAACCTAACTTTAATGTCAGGTTCAGGAATGTTCCTTTTATTCTGACTAATGGAATCACGAATCCTAATTTCTATTTTTCATTACTAATTCAATTCTGATCAAAGCCACTTACAGTGAATAAATCTAAGCTAATCTAGCAACATTTGGAGTGCACTGGAAACACAGCTAGGTTTCTGGTCAAATAGCAATCTTCTGTTGCAATATTCTACGTAAAAACTTCTCCAGAATATACTTTTTTTTAAAAAGACATTTCAAACAATGACTAGAATTTACCCAAATGTACACACACAAACAGAATGCTTTGAAATTCTTAACATTTATACTGTGTTTCACACTGCAGGATGCTTTTCTTTAGAAATTCCAAAAATAGATAGATAGATAAATAAATAAATAAAAGAATTATCATCTTGCTTTTATGCATACTCTAGTTAACAATACTGACCTGGACCTGTGCTATATTCAGGGTCAAATTCACTTGCAATTCCCATTTTTTCGTATACAAATGAATGTGTACTTCTCTTTTGACACCTTGCAAAAATGATCTTTCAAATGACAGTAAGTATCCTATTGTAAGTGATTCTTTTACAGTTTCCTGCCAAATCTCCTGTAAGTAGCAAGCTCTACTAAATGGAAAGTACCTGCAAGGACAATGCAGTCCAAGAATTCATATGTAAAAGATATTTTCCTTACATTAATGAAGCTTAATCATATTTTATTTTGCTAACACTTTTTGAATGCACTAGGAGTTTTCTCTGCCGATATTAAAGTCTACCAAGTAAAGAAGGTGTGAGAGGAGAGTACATTGCTTGGTGCCTGCAGTCTTACTCTCTTGAGAAAGAAGAAAACGTGAGGGCTGAAAACGTTGTAAAATGTGCCATTAAAGGGATAGAAGCCAAACCATGCTCAGCTAATTTCTTCATGTCTCAAAGGCTTTCACCCAGTACTTTTCTGGGTTGGTATTGCAGTCCTGTGATTCTCTGGACATCATGAAAAACAGGATTTGTTAGTACATTTCCAAAACTGACATTTTTTTTCAGTAATCTGAATGCCACATTACAAAACTGTCTGAAGAGACAACTTTCTTCATACTGCAAAGTTAAAGCAGATGCATAGGTAAAATGAGTATCGGAGGACTTTCTGCATGTCATCTAGTGGTTCATTTCCACTAACAGGGATGTGCAGTGTGGATGTTAAGTATTTTATTAGCTAAAATTAGACCACAAGAAACACCTATTCAGAGGTGTTCACCAATATTTTCTCCAAAACCACTTTTAGATTGTGCCAGTGTCCAAAGTATTTTTGAAGATCCAAAAATGATTACTGTCTGAGCAATGCAGAAGATCTCTTTCCAGAAGTTAATTTTGTGCAGCAGAAGAAAAGAGAGTAAATATAAAATGGTGACCTACTGAGATCTATTTGGACAGAAAATACTTACCTTTTTTTAGTGCACTGCCCTGTTCCTTCTATTATGTTTAATATAGCCCTGATAAAAGAAGCAGAGTTCAGTCAGTAGTGGTTGCTTTTAACCAAGGTTCATGAAAAGAACATTTGAATTTTCTGTTCCTTTACACACAAGTGACTATCTTCAGATGGAGGTAGTAGCTTTACTTTTCACCCCTTCTTTCACTGCTTTTACTTAGTACATGTATCTGCTCTGTCATATTAACTCACTTTGCTTCTAAGTATTTCCAAACAAATATAAACACACAAGATTTTCAGTCACATGAATATATGTTTTAACACATCTGCAAAAATAATTGCTATTTTACCGTTAACAGAGAACAAGGCAGCACTGGAACAAAGGGTTAGTGTAGCCTTTCAGGTGGGGTTAGATCCTCCGTCTTCCTCTGAAGAGCTGGAAGCTTACTAGCGCTGCTCAGCAATGCCATGCGCAGCGAGGAAGGGGAATTGTTCAGTTTAGAGAATGCTTGTGGTTATCAT